TTATTATAATACTGGTTCACATTAATATCCTTGCATCTACAAAACAGGTGCAATTACACAGTCACCACATTAACTCCAGCTTCCAGGTGGGTGAGTGTAGGCAAATCATTGGGGCTAATCATTGCCTCCCTGATGTGGATTCCACACAATTCAAAAAGAAGAAGAAGGCTTAACAGTAGATTGTAATTTCATGGGCATGGATATACTGTATATACACTGTGATTGCAGGAGGCAGGCAACTTTTATGTTGACCCGTCATCATTATATCTAACTGCTGCTGCTGCTGCTGGTAGACAGATTAAACAGGAAAGAGTACCTCAGTTACATACTCAGAATGATGTTGGGACCATCTTGTATAACCATCCAAAAACATGACAAACCTTTTTTTTAGTAATTATTTTATCCTCTCTGGGAGGAATTTACCTATTTCCGTCTGGGTGAACAGGGTTTGAGGCTTTGCACAGCATTTAGCCAAGCATAGCACTCTTCTGATGAATTGTTGCGTTATGTTTTTCTGTTTCGTTTTGTTTAGCAACTTTGCGTTTGTTTTTATTTATTAGTTTTTGCTTGTTTGTATTCATTCAGTCCCATTTTATCCCAAATTTGAATGTGCTGCTCCCTATCTATTAGCCCTTGTTACTGCTTACTCCCTACATTGATCTGGTGCGTGTGTACACAATAAATTGTCTCCTCTAATACACATACATTTAGCAGCTGCTATTTCATCTCACAAGGGGTACTGAGTGAAGGTTCACATTGTCTCTTCTCATCCCCCTCCACACTGCCTTGATCAATCGGTAAGAGTTGCTATTGCAGCAACAAGGACCCCTCACCAGCTTCCCACTGAGAAAACATAATATTTCAAAATGAATACTAATATAGCACTAAAGCCAAGGATAAAAGGTATTTTTTTTACCTCTGTATCACGCTTTTAAACTATTATTTTACATCTCAGAGTCACATCATGTCCAATTCAACAACAGGCAAGTTTTGAGAGTGTACAGAAAGCATCCCGAAAGAACTTATTTCTATGTTTTAGGTCACCTTTAAAATCCGCATGGCATAAGGGTGCTTGGAATACAACCATTTTATATGATATTGCTGAAAGGTTTAAGCTGACGATGCTATTACTATACAGTGTAACTCACCCTTATGGATGACATTTGGCATTTCCGCAATATAAAATGGAAGGCAAAATTAAATTAGCAAATTTTGCCAGTAAGCAAACAGTGGGGCGCTCATTTTTCTGTTCTTGTTGTCCCTCACGTTTTAAGTTAAAAAAAATGCACGAAGATATTTCAATCCTGTCTCCTACTAATTTCATTTGTTTATTACTCAATTGTTTTTATAATTACGTTTGTGGTGACATGGCTGGATATTTGGAACCACTGTAGCTAGCAGCACATCAAGTGTTTGATCTTATACATAATCCAGATGACTCATCTAGTGTTGTTTTGAGGAGAAAATCCACCTGGATAGACAGTTTCAATCTGGTGGCTGGTCACTTTTACATGCCTGTAGGTCCTGTATAGCTCCATGTGTCAGTTGTCGCGGCCAGTGATATGAAAGCAGTGCTATTAGGAGCTACTGTTTAGTACAGTTAATGGTGCAGAATCATGTATTGCCTACAAAATATTAATTCATTATTACGGTGTTGATTGTGCAGCCCCCCCCCACCACACACACACTGGGGTGTTTAGTAGATTTACAGCCACCTGATCAAGGCTTGATGTGGTCTCACTTTTTACGTGTTAAAGAATGTCTTCAGGTATCTACAAAAGAGAAAGTATGCCTACATGTATTTAAATAAACTCAGTGTGCTATGCACATACTGTACATAGTTTGTTTAAGGTTTTAGTATGTGTGCGCTAATCAAGAATATTAAAAGCAACTGGGATGTACAATATATATTGTAAAGTTAAAACTGACCTAACTTAAAGCATAGTTTTTCTGTATTGCAGTTATAGCCTATTTTGCAGGCTCTCAACCTTTGTTCAAAAACAGCCAGACATTATGCAGTGCTCAAGCAGAGGACTACCAAATCTCTATCAAATGTGATATATTTGGGTTTGTATGCAAATTGTGCTTGCATATATTGTACACAAACACATATTGTAATATTCTTGCTCTAATTTTTCTAGAACATCTATCAAACTTCATTAAAATGTAGGAATATTAGTTATTATTCAAACACTTACTTTTAATAAGCATAACATATGAATAAGTGTTACTTATAATGGACAAAGGCTTCACCATTGAATTTAGTGGAAATTTTTATTCATTAGTACAAACCCGTTGTCTTTTTAGTATTTGTTAATCTTATCTGATATTCTACTTGGAGTTTGTTCTTGACTATTAAACAGGTTTGCGGCAACCTTGTATGTTTGGAATCTTAAGTATCTTTATGTATGAATGCTCTCTGTGTCTGAGGGGACACATTTGTAATGCAGATGTTGTCTTGTTTGTTCTCTCAAAGAGGCTCATGAGAAGATAATGAATCAAACTATAACTTATCACTCCATCATAAGCTCACAATCCAATATAAAGTAAGGGTGAAAAAAATCATAATTATGCACAAATTAAACTCCCAATGTTATCATCCAAAAACAGAGCAGTGTTTTGACATCTTAAAATCATCACAACTATGCTTTAGAGTAAAAAGAGTGGGCTAACTCCTTGAACTAATTCAAAGCTAAGGCTTAATGTAAAAATGAGATATTCTCCTCTACTTATACCATATACTTAGACATGTTCCACTGAAGCTGTGATCCACAAAAAAAATATACATAAAACAACTTCCAGGCACATATTTAGTCACAGCGTTAATTATCAGTTGCTCTATTTGTTTTCTGTGTCCATCTAATTAGTTTGAAGGCACAGATTTTATAGCAGTCAATGTGTGGGAGGGTCATGTCAGGAACTGCAAATTAGGTCTGGGGTCTTGCTGATGAGCCTGGGGCATTGGAGTAGATACCAGAGTGCACCGTGACCAGATGAAAGAGATACAGTAGAGCTCTAACAATCTCTGCTGCAACATTAGTAACTCAGGTCCTTCCTCTCTCCCTCTGTTTATGAAATCATGTACAGAACTTTGTTTCTGTATCAGGTCAAGAGTACCAGTTACATAAGCTGATCTGGACACTGAAGATAAGCAATATGGTATCTATTGTAAATTGTTGAGCTCAGTTTGCAGTGAAATTTGGCTCTTGGGGGATGTGCTTCTGCAGCTGGGTAATCATTTTAACTGTTTACACTTTCTCTCTCTCTTGGGAATATTTGTAACAGAAAGGTTAACTATCCAATATGAAATGATAGCGTGGTGATGTGTATTCTTCTCTAATCATTTAAATAAAACAGCAGTCTTTGGTACATGCTCCTTAAACGGCATTTTTTTTATTGACATTTACTGTAGCATTCTGTTTTTAACAGTCGTTCCTCACCTGAAAAAAGGTTATATTTGTCGTGTGTGCAAGCAGCTCGTTACGACACATATTTACGTGGAGGTGGTCTGGGTGGATGGTTGTGTCAAACAAACATGCTTTTATCCAGGAGTCCAGGGTTTGTGTCCCGTGTGGAACCAAAAGTCAATTTTAAGTTTAATGGTACGTATTTGGAAGGGACCAGCCACATCATGTCACGTTACTTACGTCGCTTGACTTACGAAACATAACATACTTATTTTAGCCCTAACCCGGGCCGAACCCTTTCTTAAACCTAAACAAGTAATTTTGTTGCCAAACCTAACCAACACGCAACACTTCACAACGTGTTTAACTTGACTTACATAATGTACTTATGGTCTGGTATGCCCCTTGCTGGTACTTTCCAACAGCCGTTTTGGGACTCATTGGCAAACGACCTGTTCTGACTATTTTTTCTTTCAATTGCTCAAAAGTACGCCTTGTGAAGTTATCAGATTTAAAAAGATCAATATTATTATATTCTTCTCTTGTTCTGTACACTGACTGCAAAAAATTCTAATTAAGTTTGTTATTAAGTCACACTGGTGTAGTAGGTAGGTAGGTAGATAGGTTATTGTCACAATATAACAAGTTATAGAGTGAAAATGAGTTTTGTAACTCCCTTCTGCTACATGGCAGACAATATACATTGATAAAGAATCAATTGTGAAAAATGGTAAACAGAAATAAACTATCATCAGTGGAGCAGTGCTCAGGATGAATTAGACTTTAAGAGTCTGATTGCTTGGGGGGAAAAGCTGCTCTGCAGTCTGGTGGTGTGGCAGCAGAAACTTCGACACTGAAAAAAATTATACTTTGAACCAACCTAAAAAAATTACTGTGATTAGTTACAGCTAAATTTCTTACTTTTTCTCAAACTATATTTTTTAAATTGGTTGAAACTTTAAATTTTAATTTAATTTCAATCAAAATATTACTTCTACTCAAGAAAAAAAAATACATTCACATAAAGTAAAAATATTGTTTAACATACCATACTTTGGTACAACATAAATTTTTATTCTGGCATAACCTACTTTTTACTATAACATCCACGTATAATTTTTACTTTGGACTAAACTAAGTGCTGTGATTTGTTACAAGCAATTTAATCAAATTTACCCAACTTAAATTTCTAATTCAATATAAACTACATATTTTTTAATTATACCATAATCAATCTATTTTCTTTAGTCACAAGACAAAACTTTACTTAATATAGGTCAATATAATAATTTATTTTGCTTTGTTGCAACTTTCACCATAAATAAAAGCTAAATTTGCATTACTTCAGTTATGATAAAACCAAAAACATTTTGTCAGTGAATGCTTAATTAAGTTGAGTTCCTTTAAAAAAAAGACATGAATATTCTCTTCAAACAGCCTTAATGTTTATGGTGATGATGTTATCTTTTTTAAAACTATGCATCACCATTACTGAAAAAAATAAAATAAGCACCATAAAAATAAATAAAGTGTAAAATGAATGTTGCTGCCAGTTAGACTAGGTGGTATGTGTTTTACACATCAACACAAAAGTCAGTGCATAAGTCAGTTTAAGACAAACATTACCATTACTATTGCTGCCATTGTAAAATTTGACATTTACATTTTCAGTGTTGATTTAAGTGCCACAATATTTACACCACAGAATCAGCTGTTAAGAGAAAATCATAAAGGCCAGTTTTGAATTAAAGTCTGTTTCTCTCTTATTTAAGTCAACAATGGCCCCTTCCATTATCCTGTAATATTTTTAATACAAGCAATAACAGAATAAAACATATCCTGTATCTATATGTCTGTCTTTGATTAATCAATTATTTAGCGCTCGACACTCAGAATGTACACTTGTGTGCTGCGTATCATGTTCTTGGGTTCTATGTCCAAGAATATTTTCTGCAGTCCATCAAAGGTGTAGTTTACCTCACTCAGATAGCTCAAGTTTAGACCATAAATGAGGACAAACAACGTGGCACATGCATATGGAACTGATGGCAACTCATAATCCCAATGTTACGTAGTGGCTGGAGAGGATCCTCCTCTTCCTTGATGACATCACTGCCGTGGTACATCTCTCAGCTCAGTTTCAGCTTCAGCCAAACAACCTGATAAAAGAAAAACAGAAGACATTTATTACAAAGTTATTTTGATGAAATCAGTATCTGATGTGTCTATATCAAATATGTAAACAAAAAATTCTCCCAATCAAATCTCCAAAAAGCAAGGTCTAGTAATAAGAAAATGTAATGACTTTCAAAGTCGAGCAAATACTTTACGTCAGTTCTTTCAAATATTTTTTTCATAGCAACTTGACTTTATCACAAGCTGTGACAACAAATATTAAACCGTTCTAATATAAATATAATATAAATACTTCAACCAAGATTCACTATAATGTTAAATTTATAATGTTTCATTAATTTCAGAATCTGGCTACAGACGGACACTTTCCACAATGAAATATTTGGATACAATATGCATTTTATGACCAGGCTTTCACTGCTCCATCTGCTCTGAAGTGACAAATACTGCATAATTAAGATGCATGTATACAAAATATAATACGCAAATATCAACCAGCACAGAAATAGTTATGTGGTCAGTTGGCACCTTTTTTCATGACAATAAAACTCGATTATTTATAATTGTAAGCTAATACGAAAGCTTCCATTTTGGATTGTCCTTCCAAGGGAAAATGATTCCAATGTGCAGACAACACATGTTCCCTGATGGACCACAATGCTGACAAGTTCACTGAGCACAATCAAGAGTCAAATTCTTCATACGTGTACACATACTTGGCAAATAAAGCTGATGGCATTTAAAATACAAAGAACATTGAGTATATTCCAGGTCTACTCCTCCCTTCTTTATCATGATCTCTGTGGTGCTGTTCCTAGGAAGCTTGGTTGGAAGCTATAGTTTGATGGATAAGAGGGACTTTTGTAAAAGTCCACCAACAGCCAGACTAAAAAAAAAAGATAAATATGTTTAAATATGTGTTTTAAACATACATTAAATAATCACAGTAAGGCCAAATTGTGAAAATTTCAAGAAACATCAAACCTGTGAACACAAAGGAAAAGGTGAGATTTGTCATTTTATTTTTTTGTTGGGTAGTTAGCACTATCCATACTAATCACCACAGACTGTAATTATTAATTAAACCTTAGACATACTGGTGATTTTGTACTATATTATACTGACAGATGAATCGATGGAAAATGAAATTCTTCCTCTTCTATCTGAACTCACCACCTATATTTCAATACATTTCCTTAATACAAAACTATTAGTCATCTATTAGTCCACCCTCTTTCGTCAGTCTGCACAGATTCTCTGTTTAGACAGTGTGCTGGTAAAGGGGCACATAGCCTAACTGTTGTCCGAACTGGCCCGGTGATTTCATCAGACATGAAACCGACACCTTAAATTGCCATTGGTTTCTTAAAATGGGGTCATGCTTCAGACTCAACAGCTACATGCGGTAAAGGTAAACAAACACATATCGGCAGTGGAGGAGAGACAAGGCAGGCGAACAAGCGCCAAATCTGTCAAAATACGTTTTAATAAATGGCTTCTTTCTTTTTATTTCGGTTGTTAATGCCACCTACAGTCTGGAGCATTTCACTTCTTTAAAATGTGTCCGTGGATTTTCACCTTTTTCTCTGCTCTGCTGCAGCCCCTTGTGTAGCGGGGGAGAGCAGCCCCGCCCTCGTGAAACATGTCCAGACTCGCACCCACCTCTTCAGCCTTTAGCAATGAACTCCAAAGGATTATTTTCGGAGTTTTGCTGAACATTAACAGGCTCCATTCACACATGGGCTCTATCAAACATCACACAGACTCTGTTCCAACTGATCAAAATATAAATTAATTACAGCTCTTCTAGCATTAATGTTAATTGACTGTTGTGGGGCATGGGAGAAAGAGCTAACTAACATTAGTTTATTCAAGCACCAGAGACAAACGAACCTTATCACACTACACTACCATTATATTTTCCTGACATCACAATGGAATAATAACAACAAAATTAACTTTGCATTTGTATTGGCTAACTTTAGCTAACATGTGCACAAACACAGTTGTCTGTAAAGTAAGTTAGCCTATTTGTCCATCCTGCCACTAACCATAAATGTGAATGAAAAACACTTAACGTCATCACCATTAAAATACAATTTTGAATGCTTACCTTGTCTAAAGACATGTCCTGTGCCACAGCCGTCTTTCCACCTTGTTCACTTTCAAAGCGAGGTAATGGTGGACAGCAAAACACTGGTGAGCAAGGAGCAAGCTGATGTAACATGAAAATCTCTGGTTTACTATTTAATACTATTTCAGTAAAAGTGTTTTTACTTTTTTCTAGGAGGTTCGTTATTTGCTTTGAGGCAAACTGAACTAAACAGGTTTAAACCAGAAATCATGATTTTCCCTTAGTCCAACGAAAAAATGCACTTTAAATGAACGACACAGTAGTTTCACTTTTTTCAGTGTATATCTCTTCCCAGAAGGCAGCAGGTTGAACAGGCTGTGGCTGGGGTGAGTACTGTCCTGTAGTATCCTTTGGGCTCTGCGCAGGCACCTCACCGATTTCACTGATGCTTGGGAGATGGGTACCAATGATCTTCTGAGCAGTTTTAATCACCCACTGCAGAGCCCTCTGGTCTGGACCGTTCACATCACATGCCAGTTTGTGATGTTTCCAGTCAGGATGCTTTCTATTGCTCCTCTGTAAAAGCCGACAAGAACTTGGCGAGGAGCAATAGAAAGCATCTGTATGTTGATAAAAGTAATAATAAAAGTGAACTTTGGTTAATACATGAGAACAAGAGATGAATGTTTAACAATACATATAATGCAGTAACAGATCATACTGTAAGACAAAAATACTGCAGGGATCAAATTTTATAAAGATGAGATTTAAAGCGGTGATTTAAACGTAATCTTAGAAAGTTCTTCACAGCGGTTGTTCCAGACTCAGAGAGTCCCGATAACAAATCACATTTGGCCTTAAGTCAAGACCAAGGGACTGATAGTAGCTGTGTTAAAGGATTTTAAATTAAGCTCACAAATGTGTGCTGGGGATACATTAAGTGTTTTATGAGCTAGTTTGTCATATGGAAATAAAACTGGCCTTGGATGAGACTTAATTTTCAGCTTTTCCACACGTCAGCGCTGGCCCACCTTTCATCCAGAAAACCAGCCCCATAATGAGAGTCTTAAAATTCACTTGTGGCTGGTACAGGAAAGCAGGAATTGATCTTTCACAATCTCCGTTCTTTGTTCTAGTTTGTAGTCTGGCTTCATCTTACTGTAGACACATAACATGACACAGACCTGCAGTTTTCAATTCTGGAACAAAAGTTGTGTCAAAGTAGGAGAAACATAAAATCATGTAAGGTTTGAAATAGTCATCAGCCAATATAAACAACCACTTATTTGACTTGCTTTTTTAAAGTGAGGATGTAGTCAAACTTCACTCCAATATTTAAGGTAAAATATGGCAGATCAGAGAGTTGTATTTTTCAAGAGTGTCAGATGAGTTCAGCAAACAGAATGATTCGATCTATACTGACAGGAATGAGTTGACATTCTTAGTCTTGTTAGTGCTTCACAATTTCACAAGTGCAGTAAGTTGTATCAGCACAGTAACGGACAGAATCGCCATGAATAGTGGAAGAGGAGGCACATAGATACAGAGGCAGCTAATAATTGTTGATAACGATGTAGAAATTGCCCAGAGCAAATTTAAAATTCATTTTGACAAAGCATTTAACACAAATATAACATTGTCAACATTTAAGGTAAATTTAACATACTTTTATTTCCATCGTTTTTTCAGTTGTAATTATTCAGTTAATAAATACCTATGCAAACTGTGATTAAACTTTAAAAAAATGGGAAAAAATGGTTTGATTGAGAATGACAACCAGAGATTTAAATTCTCTTTAAACTTTCGAAACAACTTTCTGCAGTATACTCCAAGTGCAACAGCTTAAATGCTGGAATAAAACACGCCTGGGGGTGGGAGGAATATATTGCACCGCTCTTAATGCGGGTGACAGATGGATTGGGGGGAACGGAGGAGGGGAAAGCTAAAAGTAATGGCAGGGAGCAAGGCCAGAGCAATCAGAGTAAGACCATACTTCTGACCTTGCATAACTGTCCCACCTACCCCGTCCGTCACCAGCGGGACTAACGGATGGGTGAATCAGTGGGCCAGGATGTGGACGGTAAACAGGGGTGACAGCTGACCTGGCAGCTCTCAATGGGGATGATGGAAGAGGATATGAGCATGGGGTGGGGTCATCCAGAGGTAGATTTTCTAACACTTGGAGTCTGCCAGTGAGCCACAGACCTGTCAATGAGGTAGGACATGGCCCTGAATGACAACAGTCCGTGGCTCCAATGTAGCAGGGAGATGAATCAGCTCCATGGTTCCACTGCAGCAGTCTTCAAATACCAGTGGATACAGGCTGGGACTGATCTCTTGCTGTCGTCACAAAAAAATGTTTGCTGTTCCAGCCACAAGGTTCAGACAGAAACTTAAAAAATGTCAACTCCATACATATTTACATTAAATGCCTGATTCTATAAATAAAACATGCTGTTTGCTGGCCTCTACTGCAACAAAAACCAGACCACACACCAACCCTGACTTCACCTAATGTTTTATACTGTAATAACCTTATCAGTTATCAACAAAAACAACACATCAGACAAGCAAATGAAGTACAACATAAAAGATAAATATACTATATATTTAAAGCAATTTTTTGAGGACAACAGGACATTTGTACACTGACCTTAAGAAAAGCACAATTCTATATGATATCTTAAGATCTTAATGCGCTTTTGTAATTTAGTTGAACAGTTCTACATTTTCATCTAAATTAAATCTAAGTTTTTGAACTTTTTTCTGCCTCAGTCAGAGAATTGTCTATGCTTTTGTGAAATGAACAGTTTTACGTCCTCTATGGAGGACAAGAACAAAATGAAAAAACAAAAACATGTTGGCGAAGAAAATGCTGATGCTGCTGTAAAAAAAAAACTCACCAACCTAATTTTTCCTCAGATGTTCACTCAGTGAAAGGAATCCACAGTTAAAACTGAAACACTCATAATTACATCCCCAACACACTTATCTTTCTTGATTTCATAATGTGTCCCAGTGCTGATGGAAGCCATTTTGAAGAACCATAAAATCCGTCAATGTCCAACCCCCACATGTGTTACATCACTCAACAAATTAGGGGAACAGATTTGAAGTTTCTCTACTTTGTACTAAAATTACTTATCAGTAGTCTGCTGTACACATGTGTTGGAATGTGTGCTCAGCACCCACTAAACCAATTTGTTAGACAGTATTTGCTGTGTATTGTGTGTGTGTGTGCGTGCGTGCATGTGTGTGTGTAGTTGTGTGTTTGTCCTCCAGGTGTAACCCAGTTCTAATTGAGGAGCTCTTTGTTTACACCTGCAGAACTGGAACAGTCTCCAGATAACTTAAGCTAATCAATTAACAAAGCACAGGAAACCATTGCCAGTAAAACACAGCTCTCAGGACTTTTTTTCTTAAAACCAACTCAAGTTATATATACAGTATAGCTTCATGAATTGACTGAAATATCCCAACACATATATCAGACTGATCGGCATTACATTTAGTGCAGACATATATGGTTCCCCATATATGTATTCTTCTGATTTTGGTGATACCCTCACTTTTCATGTAGCGCCACCATGAGGTTTATATTTGTGTTGTTGTTTTTGTGAAAAGTCTCATCAACTCTTTAATGGAAATGTCAAAATTTGATGGAGACGAATACAAAAACTTGAATAACGAATGATATAATACTCATTATAGTCAGTTGTACTTTATGTATAGCGAATGTCAAATGTGACCATGCTAACAAGCTAAACTAAGAAGTGTACCTGCATTAGCATTTAGCTCAGAGTACTTCTGTGTACAGTGTACAGCCTCACAGACAAGCTAGCATGGTTGTTGACCTTTAGTCTAGTTTAACCTTGCCTCATCAATTTCATTGAGCTGTCACACCCACTCATTTGTGCATATTCACAAACTGATCTGTATATCCACAGTGTTCTACAAAAACCATTGCACTGGTCCACTTAAAGATCTGGAGCTTGCTGAATGATCTCTTTTTTTAATAATGGACGAGGGAGCAAAAAGCAAAAAACATTAGTTTTTTTCTTTCTCAATCCAAATTTGCTTCTCTTCGACTATCATGCTAGAACCTTTTGGCAATTGTTTGGGGGGGAAATGCTTCCAAGTCTAGTGTCTATGGGCATCTAACTCGAAGGAAAGCGCAGAACACATACTTTTCAATAATTTGCTGACATCAAACAACGCTCTATCAGTCTGGCTGAGGGAAGCAGGGAGGGAATAGGTCAGGTCCTTCGCTCATTATGCCACAGAAATCTGTTTAACCATCTCTGTCTGGGTGCAGTGGACGTTAGCTTGTTGTCTATCAAATTCAATTTTGAGAGAGTCAGAGCCTACCATGGCATTCAGGTCGAAGCAATTTCCTGAGCAATAAATCTCATATAACCAACCAAAGCTCTCCATCAGCTAATAACAACATAGTTTTCCTTTCCATACCTTTCCTACTTGCAGCTCTCACCGAACACACCAGCATCAATAAATCCAATCTGATGTCTTGTCACTGTTTGTCCATTAAAGACAGACAGTGTTCAATGAAATCTATCAGCAAAAGAGTTCATGTCTGCAAAACTGCGGCATATGCTCTGTGGGCCCACACTAGATCTCTCCACAATGTCAGCACATTCACTAGGACAGCACAGCTTGTCAGATTTGCCCTTTAGGCTAATCTTTGTAGCCAACTATTCTATCAGGAAATCAGTATGACAGACTGACTAAATTGTCAAATTAACACAGAATAAAAAAGGGGAAAGTTGTCCAAATGTAGGGGTAGTGGATGTGGCAGTGACTTAGATGGTTTTACTCCGATGTTAAATTTTCAAAGTATTATACACTGGAGCCAGGAAATTTAAACAGTGATATAAGGATACCAATTAACTTCTAACTCAACACGGTGTTAGGAACAAAGAATGTAAACACCCATTTGAAGAGCAGGAAGTGGTCAATATGATGAAAAATATCATATCAGCAAAAAGTCTGTTATGTAAATTGGCCCCTCTGTCATTAAATTTTCAAGTGTCAAACGAAATGATCCATGTATTTTATATAAGGAGACAAAAAAGTTAAAGGTTGAAAATGGAAATCAATGGATCATTGAATTTTGATGCATTTTGATCCCGATGATGGTGATTCTGGTGGTGGCTAGAGAAAACCACATGGATACTAGAGTGTATCATGCACTTGTAGTCACAAATAAATTATAATAAAAACAGAGAAATAAAGACAAAG